GGATTTCCCGTGCTTGGAAAATCATAGGACTTAGTAACAAGGGCTATAAATAGTTATAAACTCTGTAACTATCACAGCGATCCCTAAACCCTGAACCTTAAACCCTTCACCGTACGCTTTAGAAAACCTCAACCGTGGCTTAAGGTACTTCCTACCCGAGTCCTCTCAAAAACGATGGTCCCTCTCCGCCCTAAACCCTAAACCCTAAACCCTCCCCCTTTGGGGTCATCTCGACCCCTGAGCAAGAACCCCGCCCCATGGTTACCCAGACCCCCAGAAGGATCTAAAAAATAGATCCCCTAATTAGGGACCCTAACTACTAAAGGGTACTTTATAGGAACCCCCTTAGGGGATCTATTTTTTGGATCCTTTTGGGGGTCTGGGTAGTGAGGTTCATCAGGATCCTTGTTAAGGGTTTAGGGTTAAGGGGGTCTAGGGTTTAGAGGAGTTGTTATTACATTACCAACCCATCGTTAGTGCCAACTGCTGGCATGTTTTAAATACTATATTAGATATACATGGGTGGTTGTCAAAATTATGGTCCCTTTTTGGGTCCTTATTATAATACGGCACCTATTATTTAGGGTACCCCAAAAGGGACCCTAATTTTGACAACTACCCACATATATATTATTTAATTATGTATTTATATATATATATATCTATGAACATCCTACATCTGCAGTATCCTAGCAACTGAGGCCCTGAAAGAAGATGGACTTGGGTGTTGGTGTGTACTTTGGTGTTGTAATCCGGTAGGGACTACAAGAGAACAATGTTACTGACCGTTTAGGCTTCTGTATTGCGGGGGAAATCCTTAAGCCTGAGACTCTCAGCCGAAGTTTATGTTTGATCAGGGAGGAAGTGGTTCAGAAGGGTTTATGGTGTCGGGGTGTTTGTGTGTTTAGGGTAAGTACGGGCGACAGCCACATGTCTTCATTCCAACGGACAGGCAGTTGCCTCACATGTTGTGCTTTCGTTGTATGTAGATGCCGGAACAACTCGTAGAAGCATCCGCGAATAGTCTTTCTGTAGCTACATTTCATACATTCTAGCGATCATGGCCTCTGTCATGACTCACTGAAATACCCTTGGAAATCCCTTTTCAGAGAACCCCTTCAGAAGGAACCCCTATTCCAATGATTTAGGCCTGAATATTAGGAGTAAAGAGGGTTCCTTGGGGACTCTTCAAGGGTTTCCGTAAGGGTTACCACCAGGCTCAGGGTTCTAAAGGTGCTTGAAGCCGCATCGGCCGGACCCCACGAAAACCCAGGTCTCAATATGGGAGTTTCCGAAAATTGGGGTACCTTATTTTGGGGTCCTTATAATAAGGATCCTACTATTTAGGGTACTATATTAAGGTCCCCTATTTTCTGAAACTCCAATATGTCGTCTCTGCAAACAACCACCAGGAGTAAAAAACGAAAGAATCTCTTCATCGCTAGACATGATAACCCATATGTATACACATGCATATATAAATATACATGCGCATACATTTGTTTTATATATGTGTATATACGTATAGATGTATGTATGTGCACATCTATATATGTATATCACAATATTAAAAGTAATAGCAATGGTAAAAACCGTAGTATTAATAGTAGTGATAATAATAACAGTAGTACGCATACTATGAACCCATATATATATATATATATATATATACATATACATATATGTATATTCAACTGTATGTATATGTATATATATATATATACATACATATACATATGCATGTATGCATATAGATATATGTATATATGTATATGCATACATACATATGCATCGAGCCCGAAACGCTGACTTCGACAGGAGCCGACAAGATGCCAGCGAAGCTGGACTGCTTCGGCACATGTGGCTGCACCAAAGTGCGAAGCTACTACAGGGCCCAGGGTTGCTATAATATCGGGGCCTAAATAATTAGAATAGGGTTTTGGGGGCTCCTTATGATAGTTATAGTATACTGAGCCCCACCCTATTCAAATTGTTAAGGCTTCTACATTACTATCGGGCTCAGGGTTGCTATAAGGGTTTCTCTACAGGCAATCTACAAGAGTTGCGATAAGGAAACTAATGCGGTTTTGGAGTGTAGTGTTTAGGGAGGGTAAGGTTTCGTGGCTTGAGGGAAGTACTGCGAAGTTTGTGACTTATCCTGTAGTTTCTGTATTTCGGCCCATATCTATAGTTTGAAAGCACATCACCAAACGAAAACTGAGATCCAAAACCCTCAACCCTCAACCTATGATGACCGTTCATCGATGTTTGCTCGGGCTTTCTGCAACCCTCGGATCACCACTTACCCAAAGCCCTACGTGACTACGCAACTGAAACAGTAGCAATGGGATCCCCTTATGCAGCCTTGTTTCCTATATCACTTAGGAGCCCAATAGGTAAACTTTAATCGTTTTGGGTATTTTAAACCCTTACTAAAAGTGAAGTTTAAACCTTTTTGGGCCAGGGTACTGGGAAGCTATTATCACAATATATCCGGGATCCCTGTTCTAATTACAAGCCGCCGTCGCATACTATAGGGGCCTTAATAACTACCTATACCATTTTAGGGGTTCCTTATTATAATTATAGTGCATTGGGCCCCAAAACCCTATTCTAATTATTAAGGCCCCTAAAAACCCAAACCCTTATAGTAGCCCTTATAGAACCCTTAAAACGGAACCAAGGAATCCCAAAATCCCATTCTGATTATTAAGGCCCCTACATTAACACCCAAAACCTAAATCCGGACCCTTCAACCCCAGTCCGGCACGTCGAAAAGCGTTAACATAGGGGCCTTAAGTATTTGGCTATAATGTTTTTGGGGGTTTAGGATTTAGGGTTTAGAATATTTAGCCATAATATTTTTTGGGGGGGTGTCCTTGTTTTCAGTTTTGCATAGTTTGCCCCCCAAAGCCCTATTCTAATTATGCATATATCCCTCTCTGTCTCTCTTATCTGATATGCCCGAAACCGGATTCCAATCAGTACAGACTCCTGTGATAACCAAGGCCGACAACATCAGCAGCTCATGGGTGACCTTAGCCGAAGAGATCAGATTCGAGATTTCGTCACATAGCTGCATTGAGGCGGGACCTGTGATGTGGAGGGGTTGAGGATGGGAGGTTCGGGTTTAGGGATTTAGGGGTTTTGGCGTTTAGGGTTTTAGGGGTTTTGGGTTTAGGGGTTTAGGGTTAAGGGGTTTATTATACGGATTCAGGCCTTTTAGGGCGTTTTAGGGTTCCAATCAACTTCTCAACTTTGCCGCAGCCCCCTTGATTTCGTTATCCAAGGCGAAAGATATGAAAGAACCGCTGCTTCGCTGAAATTAGCTTCCCCAGCTTTTGCATAGTGTGCGAGCGTTGCAGGTGGTTGAATCTGCCGGTTAGGGGTTAGGCCTTTAGGGTTTATAGGTTTCGGTTGTAGGGGTGCGCAGCGCATCTTTTCCCAGGTACGAGAGGAGCGGGCTGGGGCTCGACAACACTGCAACATTGCTTGGACTCGCGTGTCCCAGACACACGCTGACTTAATGCGAACATGCCAGATCGGTTGCAGATCCTGCACCTTGCCGCTCTCAAACCTAAAGGCGAAGCATATGTGCAACATGCGTGTGTGCACATACATAGAAACATCTGCATGTACATACGCACATGCACATCCTGCAGCTCTTTATTGTGCTTTGACAGTTTGTTTATGTGTTATGTAGTTATGTATACACAGCCACAATCAACAAGAAAAGGTGTGTGTGTGTATATATGTATGTATGTATGTATGTATGTATGTATGTATGTATGTATGTATGTATGTGTATAGACATAAAGAGAGAGAAAGAGACAGAGAGAGAGAGAGAGCGAGACGGTTGATGATATAAATCCTGGATTGCCCAAATTCAGGAATATACTATAATTCCCATAGTTTAGGGCCCTAAACATAATGCGGGGATGGGGGACTTCATCCAGCCCTTGTTTGGGATGCAGATTCTCCTAAACCGCAGCCGCAGTGCCTAGGACCCACACCAAGGATCAATCACAGCAACAGCCCTTAGCCTTTCACTAAGCAATACTGGGTTCCGAATAATTCTACACTAATCCACTCTGACAAAAAAATGCGGGCTTGCTTATTCCAACCCCAGAAACAGCTGAAACTAATATAGGGGCCTTAATGATTAGAATAGGGTTTTGGGGCCCATGAAATTATAATTCTAATAAGGAACCCCAAGAATAGAGTAGGTAGTTCTCAAGGCCCCTACACTGCTCCCCAAACCCTAAACCCTCAACGAACCCGAACCGTCAAAGCCCTGCAACCCAACACTCCATGGCCCCTGCAGCCTTAACCAAACCCCATTGCTCCTAAAGTGAATGCCTCAAGAACCCTCAGGGTTTAGGGTTTAGGGTTTAGGGTTTAGGCCCCAAAAACAAGAGCCAAATACCCAAAAGCCAACAGAACCCAGCAACCCAAAAATCCTAGGAAAGCAAAAACCAAAGGCCCTGCAGCCCAAATACTCTGAAGCCCATAAACACCCCAAAAAAACTTCAAACCACCCGAAAAAGACAAACATACAAGCCCTAAACCCCTAAACCCTCTAAACCCCTAAACCCTGAAACCCTCTAAACCCCTAAAACCCTAAATCCCTAAAACCTAAATCCTAAACCCCTAAACCCCTAAAACCCCTAAAACCCCTAAAACCCCTAGAACCCCTAAAACCCCTAAAAACCCCTAAAAACCCCTAAAACCCCTAAACCCCTAAACCCTTAAACCCCTAAAACCCCTAAATCCTAAACCCTAAACCCCTAAAACCCCTAAACCCCTAAAACCCCTAAAACCCCTAAAACCCCTAAACACCTAAGATCAAGGAACCCCCCAGAATAAACCCTAAACCCCTAAAGCCCGTAAGATCCCAAACCCAACCCCCTTAAAACCCTAAACCCTAAACCCTAAACCCTAAACCCTAAACCCTAAACCCTAAACCCTAAACCCCAACCCCCCTTAAAACCCCTGTCCAGGAGAGCGGTCTCGCGCCAGGGGACCCGGGGTCTGAAGGCCACACAGTCGCTGCCAGCATCCTGGCAGCCGAAGGGTTTGGGATCTTAAGGGGCTTTAGGGTTTAGGGTTTAGGGTTTAGGGTACATAGGTACATAGATAGATAGATAGATAGATAGATAGGCAGGAAGGGTTTGGGATCTTAAGGGGCTTTAGGGGTGTTTAAGGGTTTTAGGGGATTTAGGGGTTTTAGGGCTTAGGGGTTTAGGGTTTTAGAGGGTTTTAGGGTTTAGGGTTTACATAGGTACATAGATACATAGATAGATAGATAGATAGATAGATGGGTACACAGAAAGAGAGAAATAGATGCAGAGCTAGGTATAGATGCAAAAATTACGTACCTATCAGTACATACACATGTATACTTTACGATACCCCCGACTCTTGCAGGAGTTTGGGTCGGGAACCAGACCGCAGAAACTCCACAACGAGAAACGTCCCACATGCACACTTCCAAGTCCCTGAACCCACAATCCTAAATTCTGTGTCGCAATCAAATTTTTAGGCCTCAGTGCAAATTCCGCCTTGTTCCAGAAACACCCTGGACCCTACAACTCTAAACCCCTAAACCCTAAACCTGTGGCCACCCTGAACCCTTCAACCCTAAGCCCCTATACCACCCTAAACCCTCTAAACCCCTATACCACCCTCAACCCTCTAAACCTCTGCACCACCCCTCTAAACCCTAGACCCCTAAACCCTAGACCCTTAAACCACCCTGAACCCACAAAACTCCCATACCTTCTAGGGCCTCTAAGCCCTAGCTATTTGAGAAGTGTCGGCCTCCTCCAGGGCCTGCACTGTGGCACGAAGCCCATGCGGCGATTCTGGGTGTCAGGCAGGGCGTCAAGGAATCGGCTTTAGGCTTTCGGGTATGGGGTTTTGGGTTGCGGGTTTAGGGCCAAGAAGGAATCATGTTGTTCGTGCATGTGCGTATGGGTTGCGGCTTCCTACCAGGTACTTTTCAGTAGAACTGCTTGCTGGTTTCTCTGGTCTGAGCTCCTCCAAACTCTCGCGGCACGACTTCGCAGGTCAGGCTTTGCCCGAGAACAACATCCGCACACACTCGCGGCAACCTGCCCGTGCGACAACGGCACCAGGACAGAAGGGAGAAGGACAAATTTGCTATGTGTCACAAGACGGACAGTATATGGGTAGTTCTCTAAATTAGGGTCCCTTTTCAGGTCCCCAATATTGTGCGGCACCCTGATAAAAAGGACCCTAAACGGGTCCCTAGTTTAGAGAACTACCCATATAACCAGCGGTAGCTGTCAGCAGTCAACATTCGGCGATACAGGCTTGTCCTTGCAACCACTCCGTTCGCTAGCACTGCCAATCTTATTCAGAGCCTGAGCAAAGAGTAATCTACAAGCCTAAAGGTTCCTTATCTTAGATAGCCAATGGGAGAACTTTAAACTTTTTGGCTTTATATATTAGGTCTATCCTAAAAAGTTTGAACTTTTTTGGGCCTGGTTGTTGAAGAAGAGAGTATTCTAACTTTAGTATAATGGGCCGGGCCCCAAAACCCTATCCTAATTGTTAAGGCCCCTAAACCCCAAACCTTATAGTAGCCCTTGGAGAACCCTTGATGAGGAAGCCTTTAAAGGAAACCCCAAACCCCATTCTAAGTATTAAGGCCCCTACATTAGCTAAAAAGCCTCCCATAAAGTCAAAACTACCCAGAGAGCCCAATACCCCTTAAAATAAGGACTATACCTTAAATTATAGGGGCCTTAATATTATGATGTAAGGTACATTCCTTATTTAAGGGGTATTGGTACCCTAAACCCTAAACCTTAGACCCGTCTCTGGGTATTGCAAGCAAAGCCAACTCTCTGACTGCATCTACCATGGAAGCAATGTGAAGGGCAGCTGTGTGCATGAAAAAATGTCGGTTTAGGGTTTTTTGGGGTTTAGGGTTTGGGGTTTTAGGGGTTTAGGGTTTGGGGGTTTAGGGGTTTACGGGTTTATGGTTTATGGGTTTAGGGTTTACGGGTTTTGGGTTTAGGGCAACTCACAATGGTAGTTTCAGAAAACTAGGGTACCCTGTTTAGGGGTCCTTATAGTTAAGATCCTGCTATTTCGGGTCCTATATTGGGATCCCCTATTTTCTGAAACTCACAATGCCAACGGCAGAAATGGTAACTCCACAACTGCCGTCAAGCCTGCAGAGAGATGCATGATCACCAAGCGTATGTGGGCTGTGATTGCTTGTGATATGGCTCTTATGACTATGTCTACTGCTCTTGCCGTACAGAACTATCTCGTAGCCATTGAGTAGCTCAACAATAAAACCGGCTAGAATGACTAGCAAACATCCCCTTGCAGTCCCTAACTTAACATGACCCCTGTATAATAACCCTAAACCCTAAACCCCTAAACCCTAAACCCCAGGGCCCGACTTCAGATTCAGGACGCGTCCGATCGAAGCAGCCGCAAAGCTGCACTGTTCGGTTTGAAGTTGAGAGCACGTTGTTCATGTGGGACTTTCCGAAAATAGGGGGTACCTTATTTTGGGGTCTTTTTTATAAGGATCCTATTATTTAGGGTACTATATTAGGGTCCCCTATTTTCGTTCATGGGTAGTTCTCTAAATTGGGGTCTCCCTTTTGGGGTCCTTTTTATAAGGGTTCCGTACTATATTGGGGACCTAAAAAGGGACCCTAACTTAGAAAATTACCCTCATGTTCGGCCTGCTGCGGGCAGGAAAGTGAGGATGAAAGCAATCTCAGGCGCAGGTTTCGAAAGCGAAAATACGTCGCTGAAGCCATCAAACCCCTACGCCCAAAAACCCTAGATGCCGTACCCTTTATAGAGATCATTATAGAACCACGACAGAACTCTGACAAACTGACAAAGCCCCAGACCCGAAAGCCTCCTTAGGCGACTGAAATCACTGACGCTGCCGGAGGCCGGAGTCTGTAGTAATATAGGGGCCGAAACAAGTGGAATAGGGTTTAGGCTCTAGGGTTTAGGATTTAGGGTTTAGGGGCCTAAATAATTGCCAATACTATGACCCTTATTATAAGTACACTCTAACATGCCCCAAACCTTGTTCTAACTGTTACGCCCCTGCATTAGCACGAAACCTTCGGTTCCAAACTTCGGCTCGGCACGGATCAGCTGCAATGCCCAAAACTTCGGGACCCGGAAAGTTCTGCATGGAGCGGAATAAGGCTTTTCATACAGGGGCCTGAGTGATTGAAATAGGACTTTGGGGATACGATAAGCTGATACGATTGCTAGCTTTTCAGGCCTCTCCTTACATGTATACAGAAAATATTATACATACATACATATATATATATATATATAGATGTGTGTATATATATATAATGTGTATATATATATATATGTACACACATATATATATATATATGTATATATATATATATAATATATACGAGCAAACACGCACACCCTCCTGAACATCGGTCGGTTGACAACGCATCATGCAGTGATTGCTGTCTTCCGGTGAAACCGCATGAGCCTGGAGTTGTTCCTTTCAGGGTTTAGGTTGGGCACTGCCCCCATACAGTAACAGGGGTTTAGGGTTCAGTTTTTAGGGTTTAGGGTTCAGGGTTCAGGGTTCAGGGTTTGGGCTATAATAAGGGTACTATTAAGGGCCTAATATGTCTATACTATGAACATTATTGAAGTGGGGGCAGTATCTAAGGTTTAGGGAATACTCAGCCAGCCCAGGTATCCGTTCGTAAGCTACCAAGGGACAGGTGTTCGGCCCTGTCTAGTGTCCTTCAACGGCCTAAACGAAAAGTTAAAGCCAGGGCCTCACAAGGTTGGATAAAGGTATTACTTGGAGGTTCATGGGTAGTTATAAGTAGGGTTATAAGTAGGGTAACTACAATTATAACCCATATTAGGGGACTTATAACCCCACGTATAACTACCCATGAACCTCCAAGTATAGAATCTTGAATCATTGCCAATACTATTCCTCCTTACGGTTCCTTACTATACTTGTACTATAATGTACTCTAAAACCCTGATTTGAATGCTTCGCTCAAAGTTTAGCTGAACGTTCCTGAAATACACAAGTCATCTCTTACTTTGCTCGTCAAAGACTTCTGTTGGCACAAACCCTAAAACTCTATTCCAACTATTCAGGCCTCTATATTGGGTTGGATTAATGCTCCCTTGTTTAGGAACTCTGATTGCCCCTTCCTGCCTTCCTCCCGCCTTTCGAGGCCTTTGATGCAATCCGCGCGTATTTACCCAGGAAAGATATCATCCGCTGCTCCCCAATCTGCAAGCTCTGCAGCCCTACACAAGAAACCCTGCAGTATCTGTGTCTCGATGGCCGCATGCATCTGCGGCAGAGGAAATACCCCAACTTCGAGCCGGAAGACTTCTGAACCCTGAACCCACGAAGCTCATGAGATCTTAACTTAGGGCCTCAGTAGGTATCCTGTAACCTTTTGGGGCTTTATTGTATCCCACCCTAGTTTGAAAGGTGACTTGTTGTGGGCCAGGCTACTCAGCCCCTAAGATAATCTGGGCTTTGGAGTGCCATACTTTAATGCTTTTTTGGGGGGACCTGTTCCTTAAAGGAACCATTATGTTTTTTGCTCCCTGGTTATTTCAAAGCCCAGTAATAACCCAACACGCCCCAACGGCCCAAACTCCTCCTCCGGTCATTTCCTGGCACTCAGCCTTAAGCCCTCTCAGACCATAGTGCCGGGGTTCCTCTGCGAGGCTTCTCCGGTCAGGAGTCCCTTTAAAGGAACCCTTATAAGCCCTTATAGTAACGCTTGTAGTAACTCTTCGAAACCTTCGAACCCTTTATTCTATAAAGAAACCCAAAAAAAAAGGGGGGAGCCCTAGTGGATTTAAGGATGCCCTGCCAAAAATCCCTTTCCCCGATTTATAGATTATAGTAATCCCCAAAACCATGGAAGCCGGATTAAGGGTTGAGATTCCCTATACATTATTCTTAAGGATTGAGG